CATATAAATATTCATAAAATAACAATACTGTACAAACATATATATGAACATTCCGTTTGTATGCGAACATTTCCTTTGTATGTAAACATTTCCGTTTGTATGTGAACATTCCGTCTGTATGTGAACATTTCGTTTGTATGTGAACATTCCGTTTGTATGTAAACATTTCCTTTGTATTAGAACATACCGTTTGTATGTGAACATGTCATCTGAACATTCCGTTTGTATGAGAACAGTTTGTTTGTATGTGAACATTCCGTTTGTATGTGAACATTCCGTTTGTATGTGAACATTCCGTTTGTATGCGACATTCAATTTGTATGTGAACATATCCATCCTATGTGAACATTACGTTTGTATGTGAATATTTCCTTTGTATGTGCACATTCCGTTTGTATGAGAACATTCCGTTTGTATGTGAACATTCCGTTTGTATGTGAACATTCCGTTTGTATGTGAACATTCCGTTTGTATGCGAACATTCAATTTGTATGTGAACATATCCTTTCTATGTGAACATTACGTTTGTATAGGAATATTTCCTTTGTATGTGCACATTCCGTTTGTACGTGAACATTTAGTTTGTATGTTAATATTCCCTTTTGTATGTGAGCTTTAGTTTGTATGTGAACATTTCGTTCGTATATGAACATTCCGACTGCATATGAACTTTCCGTTTGTATGTGAACATTTCGTTGGAATGTGAATATTCCCTTTGTATATGGACATTTTGTTTGTATGAGAGCATTTCGTTTGTATGTAAACATTTCCTTTGTATGTGAACATGTCGTTCGTTATGTGAACATTTCCTTTGTATGTGGACATTTTCCTTTGTATGTGAACATTTTCTTTGTATTAGAATGTTTTGCTTGTATGTGGATATTGCATTTGTTTGTGAACATTTAGTTTGTATGTGAACATTTTGTTTGTATGTGAATATTGCGTTTGTACGTGAATATTTCGTGTGTATATGAATATTTCCTTTGTTTTTGAACATTTCGTTTGTATGTGAGCGTTTCCTTTGTATTTGAACATTTCATCTGTTGGTGAACATTTCGTTTGTATGTGAATATTCCCTTTGTATGTGGACATTAAGTTTGTATGTGAACATTTCATTTGTATGTGAACATTTTGTTTGTATATGAACATCACGTTTGTCATTTGGTTTGTAAGTGAACATTTCTTATTGATATCTATTTAAGTTATCTTTATTTCAATCTTTCTATCGTACTATCTGTTTTTAGATATTTGATGACGTTGTTACTACAAATAATGATACTAATTATATAAACGAACAGCGATTAAACTTGTACATCTTTTTTTTGTCCAATTCTTATCTTAATGTGTGCACACATTTATTTTTGTGTCAAAGATGAAAAAAATCGTAATATTTGTAATGTCTCACTATGAAACATTTTAATAGTTATTTCTAAACACCTAAAAGCCAAGTAAAATAAGTTAAAATAAATAGAGGATTTTCAAGACTTTTTCCCCTATTAATTCTGGAATAATTTTCATAGAGTGGACTATGAAAATAAATATTTCATGAATTGCGGTAGCCACGAGTGAAATATGATAATTTTCATACTACACCACAAGATGAAAATAAATCCTGTATTTAAAGAGAAAAACTTTTTTTTTGTTAATTATATACATTTTTCTCTTTTTGACATAACAATTTTGAAAGACTTCCCCCTAAATTTTGTGTATTGGCTAAATTTATAAAAAAAAGAAGTCCGGTAAGACACCAGTGAAATTATAAAAATAAACATGTTTCACAAAACTGAATTTTTAAAGTGAAAACACGGAAAATAAAACGACACATGCTACTTCATAAATATTTCTCAATATTTCATTAATAAGTATATAATAAAAAGTTGTCTTTAATCTTATGATAAAATATAGTTTGTTAAAGGGTGGTATTTGTTTACAAAATATTTAATCACACGCATGTACAAATTACTACACAACTTAGTAACAGGGTGGTGAAGTAGCTCCATGACTTTTTTTCTTGTTACTATTATATTCGAGGGATTTATAAATGAGTATTAAAGTATAATAAAGAATAAGCTTTTTCAAAGATTTTCTAAATTATTCATATGTGTGTACGAGTATGTTCGAGGTTCTACAGAAAAAAAAAGAACTCCCCTTCCCCACATACACCAGCCCCCTCAAACCCCCAACAAAACAACAACAACAACAACAACAGCAGCAATAAGATATTTAAGGGAGCTACTGATTAACCGTAGTGCGCTTATGAAAGTAGTTCTGTGAGTTTCATTAATCAAAAAGTGAAACTATTTACTTAAGAATTTGTAGAAGATAATTAAACTTAACAGATAAGATGGATTCTATGAAATTGCCTTTCAAAGTGACTTTTGAAAACCTTTATATATAATGTTTAAGGCCCTATTTAGGCCACAAACACTGTTTTTCGTTTGAGAAATGTTGTTAAAAAAGTGACCACTTTTTCGGCGCCGCCCCCATCCAAATGTTACATCAGAGGGTTGCCAGAAGGGGGATGTTCCCCCTTCTGTTTGGGGGGGTTGAAGGTCGCGGTAGTCCCCGTCATTGCCGAGAAAATTTTGGACATGTGACAAGCTAAAATGGCCTCAGGTCGATCTTTGGGTAATAGTTACGACACTGAAAAGCCTTTTGCTTTATCTGAATTCATTGAGAAGTTGCAGCACTTTGAAATCAGTTTTCATGGAAAAAACAATGCAAAATAGTGATTTTTTGCCAATTTTGAGACGTCCCCCCGTTGCCATGGTACCAGGAAATTTACGTTTGAGCATGCTATTACAGAGGCTATGGTCTAGGCAACATTTGTGCCAAGTTCCATCAGTATTGAAGCATATTTTATAGTTTCATAACAGTTTGAACTTGTTACAGGAGGCTTTTCAATGAAAACGGCCATTTTCCGCAATATGCTCATTGGGTAAAAGGTTAAATATGCTTGTATTACAGTCTTACAGAGCGTTAGAAATAGAAAGATAAAAGAAATAGATCTACGTAGGAAAGGAAAATAGCTCTCCAGTGTTGTCTTCTGTAAGGGTTGTAGGTTCAGCTTTGAAATAGAGCCGCATCAATTATAATTCTTCCTAAATGAAGTCAATGAACTGACTGTCATGTATAATTTAGGCCTCAATCAAGCTATGATTTGGCTTCAAGGTGACAAAGGAGTGGTGGCTTGGTGCCATTAAAAATCACCAGACAGTTTTGGTTAGAATAGAAAACCATCGCGTGTAAATAATTGTCATTCGTGCAATTAAAACAAGACAGATTGTTTTAAAAGATTTTTTTTTTCTCAGTCACTGTTTGTCTGGTTTTACGTAAACTTCCGGTCTACTTAAAGAGGTAGGCGAAGATCATGTAATATATTTCAAATGCAATACGCTTCCATGTTTACATTTAAAACGCATTATACCCATTTGTAAGGTGACCTCCACTTAAAGTTGTAAGTTGACCTTCACCTTCGATTAGATCAGGGTATAAGAAACAAACAGCAAGATTTTGAATTTATCAAATCATTGAAATAAAAATAATTGTTTTACATGTCTTTAAAATAAAATTCACTTAACGAATTAACATAATTTTATTTAGGTATCAAGCTGACTGTTTTATTAAGTGTTCATGACAGAAAACTGTTAAAAAATGGGTACGTCAGAAATTTCTAGTTGTACTGTCAAAGGGTCTTTTTGTCTTTGCTAGAATACTCTGTATTTCATACCCATACTCTATATCATTCCCCTTTCGTCTTTTTTTTTTCAAACATTCATACCATTATTCAACTTCATGCTAATAACTTCATTTGACCTGTAACACGTTGACGGGCCTCATTTTTGAATTTGATCACGCTAACCTTTACGCATGCGCACAAGAAATGAGAATCTTATAGCGAGAGCTGTGTTTTCTTCACTGAATCCTTATTTATATTTTATTGTGTGCCAGCCATATAATTACAGGTTCCTCTTCGAACACCCTATCCTCCCGAGTGAGAACTCTCGTATATCCGTGACAGTACTTATACTAAATTATTATTACTACAACTGATTAACGAGGTTATTTTTTCATTTTTTTTTTAACTGAGTCCTTGGCAATTTAACGAACAGTGGCACCAAAGGTGACCAGTGGCACCCTTAGGCGGCTGATCTTGAAAATTTATTTTATTTTAAGTTTTGTCCAGATTTTATTGTATTTTGAATTTGTTATTGTTTATACTTGCTATCCAAAAATAAATTTGTTTAATTGCAAATCTGCATTTTTTTAATTCTGTAAATGCGCAATATTACTTCAGCGTAATATAATCAATTAAGTTTCATGCAACTGTGACGATCAGATTAGGACCGCCATTTTGAATGACGTCACAAGTAAGTCTTGCCAACATTACTACAATACTACTCTGTCTGCAAATTAATCTTCCAATAACAAATTTTATCCATAAACATTGGCACCATTCGTATGCCATACCAACTATAATTTGTACGATGGTGTACTTAGCAAACGTCGTTCTGTCCTGTCCTGTTCGTTTCACAAGTTGCAAACGTTATCATTATGTTCTAAGAGTTAATTCTCCAGCTCTCAAGATAACATGTTTTGAGGTGATTAAACATTTTGTTTTTCAGAACTTACATTTTTTATACATGTTCTAGTCATTTGCAGGTTTACTGCAGTCGTTCTTCTCAATATCTCGTCTGCAAATCTGCTTCTTTTCTCGGTATATCTCATATCTTTTCCCTCTAATGAAGTTGTTTCTTAAAATGTCACTATGCAAGGTCAAATCTCGGTAAAAGTTGGATATAAATGGGTTAAAACATCAAATAGCACTTACTAAAATCTGAATATAACTTTCAATCCTGTATATGAATGAATGGCAGACGACAATTGATCATAATACATTTTTTGTCCTTGTTCTAATGAGATATCTTGTGTCTTTGAGGAAGCTACACAAGTGTTTTTCTTACTTTTCATTTGTTTTCCTGATGATTTTTTTTCTGAGATTTCATTAAAACTGTACAGTTTATTAAAAAATGGTCCTTTATAGGACGTCTTTAAGAAGGCACATTCAGTTATCAACCTGATATTACGCTTTCTTAATGTACCTGTAAAGTATTACATGTATTACATGTTATTTGAGTACAGACAAGAAATAAATTTCATATCAATGATGGACCAAGAAAGTCAGTCTTAGCTTGCCTCACTTTTTCTGTTTTCTCATCAAACACCTCTACAACAATTTCCGGTCCACTGAATATAAACGATACCCATAATCCCCTTGTCAGGTCTCCGTCATGGTCGTCAAGGTCAATAGTCACTTTACCTATGCACGTGCTCAGTTCGTCTGTGTATTTTGGATTCTTCACAGACGACGCAAATAATTTCAAATGTGCAGACGTCTTTTGGCTGTCAGATGGGGTATACCTTTGATCAATTTGAGCCTCACCAACTTTCACGAGTTGGTCCTTTTCAACATGTTTAGAAAAAACGTTTTTACAGTATTTCCCTGTTTCCGTTTCAACCATTCGTTTCACCGGATGCACTCCAGGTTTAAACTTCTTCATCACTTCAACACCGTATGTATATTTTAGAATACGTTCAGAAATAGACATTGGATGGTGCCCGTATACCACTGCACCTTTGACAATTGAAACAGACGACTCTATCGGAACAACCACGTGTTGTTTAGGAAACGCCGCTTTCACAGCGTTTTGAAGAAATTTTGACTGAGAAAACCCGCCAACCATTAAAATTGCTTTCAGTTTGCCAACCTTGCCATTTGAAAATGTTTGATCAATTAATGAAATAGTCTGCTTCACAGGTTCTTCATAAAATGATTCAAATAATTCTGACGTCATCACCAATCTATTTTTAAACACAGTTAAATTTTTCGCAAATGCTGATTCTTTTGCACGTTTAAATAATGTCGTCTGCAATTTTTCAGTCAACATGTTAGCAACAGACATTGGTAGCTGTATGTCAATCTGATAATCTTTTTTCGTCTGATGGCCAGCATTGTTTATTAACTTTTCATTCTCAAAATCACGCATGATAGTTAGAAAGTCCCCAGAGTGCTCGCCCTTTAACTCGTTATATATATCCTCCCCTAAAAGCTCTTTTAGAAAATGTTCAAATGCATCGTCAATCATTGTACTGCCCCAGTCGCCTCCGACAGCAGACGCCACTTCCTTCACATGAAAATCTTCTTCTACTCCATGAATTGCTATATCAACAGTACCGCCTGCAATAACACAATCATAACCATCTGTCATATAGTTCAAACACGTGAGTACAATAGTTCTATCACATATAAAATAGTTTTAACATATGTATATGCTCTGGGTTTTGTTAAGGATCTGGCGTTTTTTTTATGGAAACGAGTAGAGATTTTGGTTTGACATGCGTTTCAAAAATTCAGCAAAATATAACTGCTATAAAAAAACAACAAAAAAAAACAAGCCAGCTTTAACATTAATTTTATTTGGTTATTTGAAATTAAGTACATGTGTACTTAATGTATCATTTATCTTACCCCCAGCATCTACAACAAGATATCTCATTCCAACAGGAAACTGCAGGAATTGTTCATCAACAGTTTCATCTTCATCAAGAAACTGGCAATAAATTGAGGCTACTTCCGGTTCTAGAGCAATTATCAACTTCTTCGAGTCGCAACCTGCCTGAAAGAAAACAAACTTCAGTTTTTGTATTAAGCAGATACAAAATTAAAGTACGGACGAAATATAGTCATGTTATTATTTTTCGCAATTTTTCCTCCATGTATGAAATTGATAAAAAAATTACTATGGTCATGGTAAAATATTTTAATCACAGAAATTTATTGAAAGCTATGGAATTCTTACTAAATATGTCCAATTTGAATAAAAGAATGAAAACATTATGTATTGGTCTATTGGAAGCTGTGTTCTCTATTACAGGTCAAGTAAAGTTGGTCCTTTAAAAAAAAAAAAAAAAAAAAAAAAAAAAAAACAACGACAGTTTTTAAAGGCACTATATATTCATATTGTGACCTCCTATAGTGTATAGAATTTTAAACGTAACATATCTACCTTGTGTCACGTGAAAACATGTTTACTTTATATTTACAAAGAGACTGTGTAGCGATTATCAATATTTTCTAACATCAAATATGAGCATAGTATATCAATATTTATCCTTGGTTCCATTCTGTCGATGTTTTTATGTGCTTCGGTTCGGCAAATCGACATTATCAAAACACGGTCGAGTATGAAATAGCGCGTATGTTATGAATAAGCAAAAAATATCAACGCCTGAATCCCAGGCTAGTGAACAAAAACCGGAAATTGTTTAATTAAGTTACCTTTATTGCAGCTTCCCTCATGAAATGTTTCGCAGGGTCTGTCCACAGAGCTGGTACTGTGAGAACCACCAGAATGTTATTCAAAGTGATGCCACGTTCTTTTCTATTCAGAACTTTAAGCATGTCATCCAGTAAGTATTTGATAGACATTGCAAATATGTCTAGTGCCGGTAATTGACGCTGTCTCACATCTTCTAGTGCCAGTTCACGGTCCAGTTTCTAAAGTAGTAAATTATCTAAGATTAGATTTCTGTCCACCAGGACACTGAATTACAGTAGTTACCGAATTATTACTTCTTTCTCGAAAAAAGCAGTCACTCAATAAATTCTTAAAATGGTTAATGTTATAAATGTAAATGACCTAAAAAATTTTGATTTTCATAATTAAAAAAGGGGGGAAAAGAAAAACAAAAGCTTAATTTTAAAATAAAAAACTTTTCAAATTTACTACAAAAACATGTTTTTAACAACTATTATTACGGTGTCCGTAAGGCCATCGTGACATAAATATAACTTGAAACAGCGTAAGTACGATGGTGGAAAGTAAAAAAAAAACGAAACCACGATGATGAAAACTCGCATTTTTTTAATTTTTCCGAAAATATTTAATTTTTTGTTTTCATTTTCGTTGTTTTCTTAGTTTTAACGTTTTTGGTTTTTTGTTTTTCGCCATGGCCCTAACAGGACACGGTAGTTATTCACATTGAAATGAAAAAAAAGTTACCTCGCCTAACTTCTTATTCAGCGCCATTTTGAAACGCTTGAAAAAGTAATAATCTTCATGCTCTCCCTCAGCAACAAGGTCTATATATCTATCCTCCGCTTCGAAACCGAATGCTTCAACGGTTTTACCGTCCGGATTCACTAGCACGCATGTTGCGGTCTTTTGAAATGAAGTTTTCCCGCATTTCCAATTTTGAACATATGGGTTGGCAGGATCGATTTCAAAGTCTTTGGAGTAGGAATATGCCCATCCCGAATATGTAGTTCCAAAGTCAATAGCTCCCACTAATAACACGTCATCCGACATTTTATTTTCCACGTTAAAGAACCACTTAAAGTATAACAACTATTATCAGAGGCAACCTAACTTAAAAAAATCTTAAGAAATTCGTGGTGTAAAATGTCAATTTATCCGATATAAACATGGCCGATGATTGATAAAATTGGTAGATGTTTAAGATAGGCCTCTAACAATACAGTCTGTTATTTTATGACTTACCATGTATTGTACTGATTGTTTTATTAAAAAAAGAGAACAAGGTCTATTTTTAGAATTTAGGAAGGTAATTTTATTCTAGTTAAAATTTAAAACTTAAACAAATTTAACTAATTAACTGAAATTTATTTTGTTAACTATAATTGCATCTAAAATTTAGCAAATATCATGGACATGTTTTGAAAGTTATAAAGCATATAGATTTAATTTTTATTGTTGGGAACTGATGTGTTTTAAGTACGTTAGTCCCCTTAAATTTTGTTTTTTTGACAAAGGAATTTAAAATTCGGAAGACCCTGTGCACTACTAAAGGGGTTGAATTGGTGGCATTTGGGGATTCTTACGGTGGGTGGAATTTGGCACGGGATTAAAATTCTACAGAATACATTCATGTATATTCATTTAACCCATTCCTACATTTAAAGGGTATTAGTTAAATTCGAATATCCTAAAAAAACTTTTTTTTTTTCCAATTAAAAATTATATTTATGGTTTAGATTCCAAAACTGAGGTTTAACATAAGTAAACACAAAGAATCATTACGAAAAAAATAAATGTTGTGCGGCACTAAACTTTATTTTTTTAACAAGTTTTAAGTTAAATGCGGTGACGAACATTCCGATAAAACTGCGCCATTATGTCGCCTGCTTTTAAAATTCACTTATTAAAATTTAAAACAAGCAATGGAATTTTTCTTTTAAATTTATTAAAATAAAAAAGTTTTTACTATAATTTATTTTATAAGAACATTATTATAAACCAATTCTATTATTCAATTAAAAGTAAATAATTTTTTTAAAAATTTAAAAATGTAAAAAAATGTTTTGTCAAAATATCATTATTGCAATGACCAAACGTTTTCATGGTTTTAAATTCTTCGTAACTAAATTAACTCTAAAACATTAAAAAAATTTTGGAATGTTTTATTTTTGAAAATGAAGCTGAAGTTATGAATGCAGTAAAAACGCAAACACTTACCCTTTTGCAAACATTATGTAACACAAAGTAAATTTCCCCAGGAAAAAAATAATGAAAGGGGGTTTTTTGTGTTTTTATAAGAAAAAATCATTAGCCCTTTTAGTTACCATATTCATTGTTTGTAAAAATGTCATATTCTTTTTCTAACCATTGACATTAAAATTTGTAAAAATGGCACATTTCCTTTTAAAATTCCGTTTTCTTGGTATACTGTTAATAAGTAAAAAACAAAGCAAAAGAAACCTTTACAACCTAAAAACAAACAAACAAAAAATCTATGCAAATAGTGCATAACACAATACAAAAACACACATGAGTAATATAGCGTTAAAGTTTAAAAACAGGGAGACACCGCTAGATATTTTCATTGTTTCTTGGTATCTTTCCGCCATTTTGTCTTCTTCCGCGTACTGATCTTCTATGTTTGAACGGTAAATTTCCTTTGAAATAGCTGACATTCTTGGAGTATCTAAAAATAAATAAATAAATAAATAAATAAATAAATAAATAAATAAATAAATAAATAAATAAATAAATAAATAATGTTATAAAAATTATATTCATAAACACAAGAAAGGTAGGATTTCATATCAAGTGCATTTAATATAATATGAGTGCAGATGTTGAAGTTTTCCGCATATCATGAAATAAGTTGAACAAGAGTTATCGGCTCATTAATGGAAACGTTTTTCAGTTTCGTCAATTTCATAGAAGAAGTAAGGTTTGAGCGAAAATTTAGATGAGGTGACTTCAATTATATTTTATCATTTGGAACACATCGAAAAGAACCGAAGTATAACGGAAAGGTCCGAAAAGTTGGGATAAATACTTCGGGACTGTACATACCATATGCCTTTTCTACCATGAACACACTTTTACCATTGGCAACATCACTGTCTGAACGAATTATAGTGTGTCTTCGTTTGGCCAGGCGGTTCCTCTTAACTCCGAACTTGTGTACACCCCATACAGTTAGCCCATATATCTAGAAAAAATAATTGAAGGTAGATCGATACACATTTATTTAGTATCAGGTTACAAGATAACGAAAACATAATCTTAATATATATGACAAATGTAAACATTTAAAACGAATAAAAACGCAAAAAATGATTTGTCATAACCGATTCTTGACCCGTCTCATAATCATTTTTACCCAACCCATCCCTGCAAAAAAAAACACCAAAAAAAAAAACAGAGGAAAATATAAAGTAAACAAAAAAAACTCACACAATCAACGAAACAAATTAACGTAATTACGAACGAACAAACAAGTAATCGAAACAAACAAACTCAAGAATAAACAAACAAACAAACAAACAAACAAACACCACACAACAGTAACAAACAAGAGATGGCAATAGGCTAGGACAGCTCGCTCGACTATTCTCAGTGCTTGATACTAGCATGGAAAATGTACGACAATAGCAGGGTAAGTCCATTACACACAAATACAAATTTACATCAAATTTAACAATAAAACATAAAATGAATTTACCTTATCATAATCTGGCTGTGAAGTACAGAAGCTTAGAATAATGGTGATTAAAGCTGACAGAACCAGCATCATGGCGGAAAAATATGTGAAATTTATCGCAGATAACACGACCGGACGGTTGTCTATTTCACCGCACCCTGGAGCCGGATAAATGAAGTCCAGAACCAACCGGACAATTCCCGCCAACTGGCCAATCAGTATTCCCCAGAATGCTCCCTAAGTGTGAAAAGAATAGAAAATTTATGTTTTAATTTTGGCATAAAAAGGCCTAGATAAATTCCTTTACTACTATTTACAAAGTACATGTACATTGTCAAGCTTCTGACACTTCTCTACCAGTGTTGTATTTTACATTAACACCTGCTTAATAAGACATATCAGACTGAATTCCTTTAAGCTGAAACAGTTTTATTTAAAACTTTTCTTGAAGACCAACTGAAAAAAAAAACACCTTTTTTCCTTCCGCTTTTTTAGACAGGCTTCATAATTATATAAAAACTTAAGTTTTGTATTAATCAATTCTTGTGTTGTACGTTTTACACTGTAAATATAATAAGTTTTACCTCTTCATTTACTCTTGGAATGAGAACAGCCAATAAAAACACAGAGCACACCGGCGGAGCAATATACCCTGTCACCGCTTGAATATAGATGAAGAGTTGTCCCCCTTGAGCTGACTTCACCAACGGTATCCATGCAACGCTGACACCAACCAAAACAGCCACAAATATTCTACAAAAAAATGGAAGAAAAAATCACAAAATTATTTGTATATTTATTTCGAATAAGTACAAAAAGATGGCGAAAACTATATACTATATACTATATTACGTGTTGGAATACATACACTTTGAAACAAAGGGGGTTGTAACGGTGCCTGGACTCTATATTTACTCTATACCAAAACTAGGTCCAGACCAAACAAAAAACAGGTGACAATCCTTATATATAGACTATATATAAGGATTGTCACCTGTTGTTTTGGTCTGGACCTAGTTTTAGTCACAAATAACCCCATTATAGAGTCCAGGCACCGTTACAACCAACCCCCTTTGCTTTGAAACACCCATTCAAAATAAACCCAATATGACAATTCATAGAAAAGGCTGATGAAATTTATGACTTATATCATAAATTAAATTATTTCAGTTTTGTAAATTTCCAACTTAAGGAAATAAGTTATCAGAGGCGCATGTGTTGGTCGTTGTTGATAGGTGAATATTTTTATATTATTAAAAATCATAGGCATTGTGGAAATTAGAAAAGGTAAAATTGTGAATTTATCTTGGCATATTTCACTTAGTACATTCAAATGTGCTTTTTGTTAACATATGTGCATATCATATTTTATAATGGAAATCTGGAAGTTAATACGAAGAAACAAGTATAAAAATCTTGAAGAATCTCAAAATAGTTAAACCTTCCGGAAATGACGAGTTCTCGATCGGAGGCTACGGGGCGGAGCTTTTTCCAGATATCCATGGTAAATAGTGTAGCTGCGCTGTTAAATATTGACGTCAGAGAGCTCATTAATGCTGACATCATCACCGCCATCATTAAACCTTTTAATCCTACAATATGAAGATGAAAGTTTTTAAAACTAAACTTTACAATGAAAATTAACTTAAGAACATAACACCTTTCAGAAGAGTTGTAGAAGGGAGAAAACTGGTATAAATATTACATTTTGACATGCCAGGGTTGTCTCCCCTCTAACAAACTACATTAATGATGTGATTCATCTTGGCTGTTTAACGGTTTTTTGTCACACATATCTTTAGTGTCCTGAGATTTTATACATATACAGTAGTATATATGCATTTCATGGAATTTTTAACTAAATTTTGTCGCCATCATGTACTAGTATATCTCGGAGATGTCTGTATTCAGCTTTTTAACATTTATCCTGGACATCGTTTCGGAATTATGTAACTTTGTGGCATATATACTTGGACTTAAAGATATCTTTTGTCCCAGGTATATGATTGATATCTTTACTGAACTTGTTTACATAAATTATGGAAACCTTTCATGGATATCTTTACAAAGTGCATCATGGATGAATTTACTGATTTTTTAACATACAACTTGGTGGAATGAATTAAAAATATTGACTAAAATACACTTAACTAATTTGATCACGGTTAGGACTTCACTCGTATAATCAAATGCTTAGAAAACACCCTTTAAATGCAAAACATATCTATAAGGAATCCAATAACTTTATATCGGACACAAGGCAATAAGAAATGACTGACAACTTTCATGAATAGTGCTAGATATAATATAGTATTAGTATAACAGACGTACCAACAGGTGCGAGTTCGAGAACCAGTTTCGGGTACGCTATGTTAGAACATCCGCTTTCATTGTCACATACCTCCTTGCAAATGGCAGGATCAATACACGCTACCTCGTCTATAAATTATTAAGAAAGAAGAAATTCACAAGGTTAGTCCCTTTTTTTCAATAAAATGCCTTTTTTTCTAAAGAAAACGGTAGGTAGAAGAAAATAATTATCGTATATATCAAATACTCTCAAGTAAATGTTTAAAAGAAGTGAAATAAGCAAATCCCATCCCTTCACCTCCACAAAAAATTGAATAAATACGTTTCTGGTATTTCAGTGAAAACAAAACAAAAATATTCATTTTACTGAGAAAATACATCTCAGTATATATGCATTTTTTTGTATATTTATACTAGAGACATAGATGAAATCTACATCTCTGTTTCTACGAAGTTTACTATCTTTGCCATTATGGGACACTTGAGCTGTAAAATATTGCCCCGCCCCGCACTTCACCACAGTGTCATATTTTTTCTGGTCCTTTTAGATCATTGAACTGGAATACTTATTGAATACTACTTTTGCCGGTGCTAGGGGGCGTCGGAGATGTTGCATATGTTATTATCTCTAATGAACAGACTTAATTACACACATTATGATTTTTTTCAGCTTTTAAATGTATGTTTATATTGCTTTCAAGGGATATCACTTGTTTCAGACTTTTTGTTTACACAACCTGCTTATTACATAAACAATATCGGTATGGTCTGAAAAAATATGTGTTGTTTATGATTTGTTTATTGGTTGGTTTTATGTCGCACCAACACAGTATAGGTCATATGGCGCCGAAACAGGAAAGATGATTTTGGCTAACCTCGGGTGTGATAAACTTCAAAGCAACACCGTCAGTCAACTGGAGCTAAGATATGCATAGACTCCAATTATTCAAACCCATTTAGTCGCCGCTTACGAATCACACACAAATAAACGGTGACTGTTTTTTTTGCCTCAACCATTAAAGGCAATCCCTTAGCTTAATTAAGGTCTTTAGCGTACCCTTTTTTAAAATGTAAAAAAAGGTCTACCCCGAAGACAACAGGCATGATCCCAAACTTCAACGCCGCATCAGACGAAAGAAAAAATGTTTAAAAGCGGCTTATAAAGTTCTGAAAGCCAGAACTAGCAATCCCTCAAGGGGCATGTATAGCGGACCAGTATATCTTCTCTTTAACTAACCTGTGAAAAGAACCCGACTGATCATTCCTGGGATGATAATGAGAAAAAGTGGCAATATTTTCAAATATCCTGCAACAATAGTTCCTCCTCGCGCATGCGCGATGTTCTTGGCAGCCAAAGTACGTTGCACAATAACCTGCAATGATGAAGGGTTACACATTGTATAAAGATGGTCCGCGACACACATAATCGGTCACGCACTTACAAACTTGCTTGCATAGTTTCAGTCGGCCATATTCCCTAGCCATGAAAGATAACTCCCTGATTCCCTGTCTAAAATTCCACCAAATTATTCCCCTTTCAAATGAACTCGAAGAAGGGACCTTTTAAAAAGACTTTGTATTTATTTTTTCGATTTTTTGTACAGAAACGGACATTTTTTTCTTTACCTTTGTTTAATTTGCTTTCTATCAATATATGGTTCCTATGGTAAACATATGAGTTATGATGGTAAACAAATGAATTTTCTGAACCGAAAGTAAACTAACACACAGCGTTGCTGTCATCACATGTAAACAATACATTAAATCAGTAAGAATATTGAGATATTTGTTTGACTATCAGTTTCAAATGCAAAATATTAATATGGAAAACAACTATATGTAGTTAATGTGTATTGTGTTTGTCTGATATTTTAGTTGTAAAAGCCATGTTCACTTAGTGTCGCTTCATAGCAACCGATTTAAAACGTGAGCGGTAACGAGATATGGCAAAGCGCATGCTCCCGCACTGACTTCCGCTCTATCGAAATATTGCATAGACGTATAGCGAAAGTTCGTAAGTGTCACGTGACACTCATAAAATGTTAAAATCATAGGCAATTTGTCACTATTTAAAGAACAAGTGTAAAGGGGTCCCAGGTGAACGTTATGTGGCTGTTTTTGTGCTGAAACAAAAAAATACATAATTTAAACAAGCAAAACGTTAACAGCTTAATATTTCACATCATATTAGACATTGCAAATTAGAGCATTTTAAAAAATAAAACACGAGTCCTCACCTGATCCGTGCACCAGTACCACAGCGAGACAAATGTTGACCGTATGACAACACCAGGCCACGGTAAATCAGAATGCACGGGATCTCGGAGTATGTGGAAAGCATCATCACGTGGCAGACCGCACGTGGAATTCGTGGACGGGTCGTATGTATCGGGTATTGCGTGTGGGTATTTATATTCAAGTGCCCATAGACCGCCAACTTTCACATATGCTGCAAAAATAAAAAAAAAACACATCTTTTGAAAATAGTAGATAAACGGCATTAAACTACAATTAAAGGAAAAGAATTCGTGAAAATAAATATACATGTTCACAATAAAAATGATCATTCTTGAAAAACGGGGTGAGGGAATGAGCTGAAGACGTGCCCACAAGTTATTGGTCCTGGAACACACATCTTGAAAAAATATTTCCAGTCTCGCCAATAAAAAAACCCAGTGGAGTCCCTTTAATTATAAACACGTTACTATTGAAATATATGCAATAAATGTCTTCAAAATTAAAGATGCATGCCTCCAAAAAATCAAACAAAGATTTTAAGAAATGTAAATAGATTAAAGATTCAATAAATGATTTACATGTTATGTACGGAATGCCGTTAGGGCCATCGCCTATGAATGTGTTGATGTAAAACGTGATAGTCGATAGTACGATGGTGAAAACGCGAAATCACGAAACTACGATGGTGAAAACTCGAAAACACGATGATGAAAACGCGAAAGAACGATGATGAAAACGCGACAGTACGATACTACGATGATGAAATACGCGATAAACTATTGTGTTTTCACCATCGTACTGTCGCGTTTTCACCATCGTAGTTTCGTGATTTCGCGTTTTCATCGTCGTACTGTCGAGTATCGCGTTCCAGGTCAAACCATTTATAGGCGATGGCCCTAACGGCATTCCGTAGTTATGTGCAATTAATGCATGATTATACAGCATTTATCACTATATTTCTACTGCGGAACTAACGCAGTAGGGGCTTTTTGGTATAGTTTGACCTGTTTGTAATTTACGTGGATTGTAAATGTCGTTTTTAGTCTGTTTTTTTTTTTGTTCATAGTATCAGTTCCAATGTTTTGCTTTAAAAAACATTTTTAAAACTTTAATGAAAATGTTCATGAATCTAGGGGCACTTGTTAAAGAATTATTGTCTTCCTACCTAGGACAGCAAGAATTATGGACCCTGTTAGCATTATAATTGTTTGTAATGTATCTGTGAATATAACAGCTGATAGGCCACCTGAAATATACAATTATATAGGTAAAATAGTAACAGAAAAGAAGAATTACAGTCAGAAATTTCAAAATGTAAATGATTACATAGGTCATTGTTTAGAGTTGCCTGTTTCAGCATAGTCAGTATTAGTCACCGACCATGCAATTAATGAAAGCACATAACACTGTGAAACATTGTAGTTGTACTAGCAATAACTATCAATTTCATCAACATTACTGATGTCTTCTTTAATGCAATCATTTATGTCATCATCATCATTAACGTAGACGTTATCATCATCATCATCATCATCATCATCATCATCATCATCATCATCATCATCATCACTATCATCATCGTCATCATCATCATCACAACATCATCGACATAATTGCCATTATCATCATCATCATCATTACTATCATTAACAAATGAAAATATTGTCGGCTAAGCTTATGATTTTACTGTTTCTAAATTATCTCCTTCTATTTGTATCAACATCATCATCGACATCATTGCTTTCATCATCATCATTATCATCAACATTATTATCATCATCATCATCATCATCATCATCAACTATATAAAACATTATTAAGAAAAAAGAAAGGAACAAACCAACTATAGTGTATATAGCTGTAACAACCAGCAATGCTGTGATGGAGATGTAGGTGTTAAAACCTAGTGCCTGTTGTATAAACACTGAGCCTGCAAACACGTCCACCTTAAATATAAAATAAAATCATAACGTCTTTATGATTTTAAAAAAAAATTCCTTTTTGAAACGCAAAAAAGAGAGAAAAAAAATATTGAAGTACATTTTTCAATGCACAATTCTGATATAACTTTCTTTGAATGATAAATTTACATAAACGAAGTTGAGATATTCCATTACTATCAATTTCAAGTTTGCTCCCTGTATTGAGGCATTTTAATAACTACAACGGTCGTTATGCTATAGCGGGACTCAAACACCCAGTCCTTGACTGTATGACAGACAATTTACCACCATCTCCTCTAAAAAAACCACCCCAGTACTAAAAAGGCACTTCGGTCAATTCCCCGCTGTCACAATGGGGCATTAACAGAAACGTGTATATACACTTCATGGGCCACCCTTTCAAGTATTTAAATTCAGCAGGGTGTTGATACTTCTTTTTCCGATGTTCTTTCTTAAACTTGGAGGTAATACTTACGGATATTTTGGTTATAATATACAGCAGTGTGGAGATAATACTTACGGATATTTTGGTTATAATATACAGCAGTGTGGAGATAATACTTACGGATATTTTGGTTATAATATACAGCAGTGTGGAGATAATACTTACGGATATTTTGGTTATAATATACAGCAATGTGGAGATAAAACTTACGGATATTTTAGTTATAATATACAGCAATGTGGAGATAATACTTACGGATATTTTGGTTATAATATACAGCAGTGTGGAGATAATACTTACGGATATTTTGGTTATAATATACAGCAGTGTGGAGATAATACTTACGGATATTTTGGTTATAATATACAGCAGTGTGGAGATAATACGTACGGATATTTTGGTTATAATATACAGCAGTGTGGAGGTAATACTTACGGATATTTTGGTTATAATATACAGCAGTGTGGAGATAATACTTACGGATATTTTGGTTATAATATATACAGCAATGTGGAGATAATACTTACGGATATTTTGGTTATAATATACAGCAATGTGGAGATAATACTTACGGATATTTTGGTTATAATATACAGCAATGTGGAGATAATACAAACGGATATTTTGGTTATAATATACAGCAATGTGGAGATAATTCTTACGGATATTTTGGTTATAATATACAGCAATGTGGAGATAATACAAACGGATATTTTGGTTATAATATACAGCAATGTGGAGATAATACTTACGGATATTTCGGTTATAATATACAGCAATGTGGAGATAATACTTACGGATATTTTGGTTATAATATACAGCAGTGTGGGGATAATACTTACGGATATTTTGGTTATAATATACAGCAGTGTGGAGATAATACTTACGGATATTTTGGTTATAATATACAGCAGTGTGGAAGATAATACTTCCGTATATTTTGGTTATAATATACAGCAGTGTGGAGATAATACTTCCGTATATTTTGGTTATAATATACAGCAGTGTGGAGATAATACTTCCGTATATTTTGGTTATAATATACAGCAGTGTGGAGATAATACTTACGGATATTTTGGTTATAATATACAGCAGTGTGGAGATAATACTTACGGATATTTTGGTTATAATATACAGCAATGTGGAGATAATACTTACGGATATTTTGGTTATAATATACAGCAGTGTGGAGGTAATACTTCCGTATATTTTGGTTATAATATACAGCAGTGTGGAGATAATACTTACGGATATTTTGGTTATAATATACAGCAGTGTGGAGATTATACTCATATAAAGTCGGATGCGTCTACCGCCAAATCTTCGTTCAAGATATTCTGGCATTGTGTAAACCTTCAAGAAATTTATATTATATATATGTTTTTATCAATATGATAATGGAACTGTGATAATGAGGGGCTACAAAAATCACTGGCATTGTATTATAATCCTAACTCTAAAACCAAAATCATTTTGGGGGTAATATCTTTAGCAATGTAAAATGATCTTACTGGCACAAAAGTCTTTAAATAATTACAAATTGAATCAAAACACAGAAAGTGTAAATGGGGCTGAGCCTGAAAAGGAATTCTTGATAATATTTCAGGAAGTTTGCTTTATATTGGTATCATTTGAATAATTTAATGATTATCTAAGCACTCTTGTGCCAGTGAATGATCCTTTCAGTCCATTAGTCGAAATAAAAACTATTCTAACTGGTTACGAACGGTTGTCTTCGTTGTTGTCGACGTCATCGGTCGAATGACGCATAAAGTACGGCTTAACATGCTGTGTGACAGACAAAAGGTGGAGTCGACAGTAAATGGAATGCACATTTCCTATTAAGTTGACAATGCTACATTATTTTTTTGTACTTTTCATGCAAACAAAACAATACGAAATCAAGACACAGGAAAAAGTATACTATTTTGTATTATATCTAATAATCATAATGTTACGTCTGTGATCTTTTTTTCTGTATGAAATGATATAAGTATATAAACCCGTCATTTAAATCTAGATAATTATTGAAAACATGAAACGAATAAAAGAAACGTAAGACAACTGTGACACCTGGTTATGTGTGAAATTGAGACAAAGGGAGACAACTTACCCCTGACGTCAAATAAATCGGTAAAAATAACCAGCCCAGCATCAACAGCAGCAGCACAGCCTGTAAACAACATAAGTTTTCGTATAATGCTTATTGGTTTTACTTTAATCGTTTAACGGCTATCCACTGAAGTTTTTGACATGACGTTTTTCGGGATTTTTATACCATTTGATGATGTAGGTCTATACCAATAACGTGTGTGCAAAATTGCAGATCATTTGCTCACTTTGATTTTCAAGAATAATCATTCTAATTTTGAAAAATGACCTAAATCTGGCAAAGAATTTCACAAAAATAAACATTTTGATTTATTTCTGAGTATATTTCTTTTTTTAATTTCTTTTGCTTATCTTTCTATTTGAGTTATTTTACTCGTACAAATTTTTAGGCTTTTGGACCTCAGTGGAGTTCCTTTTAAATTTTCTTTTCATTTGTGGAATTCATCCATTTCTGTAATAGCTTTCTGTAACCGTCGAATATTCTCTAAGAATATTAGTATTGTCTTTCAAAAGTCCATGCAGTAATCTTTGTAAAATTTGATTGTATTGATCAGTTAACAAATAATTGATATGCTCTAGTTATTATCATTATCATTTTAAGATTTATTTGTTTAAATTCTAATATTTGTTCATGTACAGTGCAGCCATGTCTGACTATTCTTCATTTACATAGTATTTATTATTTTATGATGAAAATCAAATTATTTTAGTGCTTTCACACATTTTCTCTCAATTTTTTTTGTAAAACATTAATGCCAAACTTTGAGAGTTATGCAACAAAATGATAAAGTGTACTTGAAGACATTAATTCAACCTTATCTGATATTAATAAACAACAGTAAGTTACTTACTCCCCACTCAAATGCAACAACTGCTATACCCGACTTGGCTCCACTACCAGCCAACCCGATAAAGTGCTCACTGCCAATATTACTAGCAAATAATGAGAAACCAATCTGAAAGAAAATTGGACGAATAAATCATAAAATAATCTATCTATTATAGGAGTTTTGTAATACTTCTTTTAACAAGGTCTCAGAAGTAAAAGTGAATTGGCATGTTTCACACAATAATAATAATAATAAAAAATAAAAAAATAAATTAAAATAAAAAATAACATTTATCATAAAGTCATTAAGACATGTGTTTTTAAGCTCATCAGTTTTGACCCCATCTTTATCTTGACCTTATAATTGGTGAAAATGACCTCATATGACGTCATAATTTGCTGACTTGCATTTACAACATATATATTAAATCAAATTCTCGAAAGCGATTTTAAAAGAAATCACGGTATCTTCTTCTTATTCAATGTTATATTTCCTTAATCTAGAGTTCATTTAGTGATTTTATTCGAAAAAAAGTATTTGTAAAATAAATTGCTCTACCGGAAGCCAGTGCATATTTCTCCCAGCAAGAAAATATCCTTTCACCGAATTTCTCCCTTTCCGGCATGATGACTGAAACACAACAAAGTTCAACATGGTTTTTGATAAATATCTTACGTTTAAATTATTTCTATATCATATCAATTTGCAAAAAAGTGTCCTATATTTTAGGTGAAAATAATCCTACAAAAGTTGATTAGATAACCATGGTACTAATCATAAAATGGTATTCTAACATATATTACGAAAACATCAATTTTTAAAGGCCCATTATGCCCCAAAAATGCTTTTATTTTCATTCTCAAAAGCTTTTTTAGTTTTGGTGTACTTTTGATAGTTTCCATAAAAGTACTCATTGGCCAAATATCTGAAACACCTTTTTTCTGCTGCTTTTAGTACTGTGATTGTGATCTTGTATAAAGTCAAACACAACATTTTTGTTTTTTATGACAAATAATTTCACATTCAATTAACTTTTTTCCAGGCAATAAGCATCAAACATAATCTAAGACCATTACATATGTTAATGTGATAGAACTCATGTTTGCCATTTCTTAAGATCGTTTCTGAGGCATAACGTGGCATTTGCATTTTGATTTATACTTATTATTTGTATAATATGTTTGTAAACATGTATTTAATGCAATAAAATATGTTTTAAAACTAGAAAAAATGTGGCTTTGAATAGTCTAAACTTGTGGAATTATCTGCGCCATATTTTGTACTAAAATTGTACAAAATTGTCCTCTATTCCTCTTATTCAACTTACAATCATATTTGTGAAAAAAGAAAAAAAAAAAAAAAAAACAACAACAAAAAACAAAAAAGTATGAAAGAATGAGCTCTACTTACCGCTATTCCAACTGCTAAAACAAAAGCAAAATATATACCGATGATTAAAAAATCTTTCCAGTCGCTAAGTTTACTCATTTTCAAGTCCTTGTGATATCCCAAAAAATATTCTAAGATTTCTTTTTCGTAACGTTTTCTCTCTTTCTATAGTTTCAACACACTATGTTTAGGCATAGTTCAAAAATTTTATCACGTTATCAATTTATTTTATCATTTATATTTATATCATCACATTTTTGTCTTCATGCAACGTGTAATTTCAAAATATATTTTTTCTTCAGTTTTTTTCATGAATTGTTTGAAAAATGAATCACGAATCTTCAGTCAATGACTCCTCGACTTAACGAAATTTTCAGCGTCTTAAACAAAGAATTTGATACACAAATATTTATCTATTACAAGCGTCCATTTGTTTAAGGTATTAAGATTTAATACATCAATATATACATTGATACATGTACGCCTTTATCTACAAGATAACAAACTAAGTTTAAACTGTTGTAGCGTATGCTTTTATTTACATTTTAAATATTGTACTATATTGGACATATACAAATGTACTTGTATAATATATGCATAAAAAATTCACGGACATGTCCTGTCCAATGTTCAACAGCGCTGTCTCGCACTGATTGAAAAGTGGAAGTAAAATAAACTTACCCGATCATTTTAATATTTGCAATGTAAAAAATTCCATATTATTGAGAAACCAAACCACCCTCAACCCCCACCCCCCCCCCCCCCAAAAAAAAAAAAAAAAAAAAAAAACAAAACAAAACAAAACAAACAAACAAGAAAAACAACAACAAAAAAACCCAAAACAACAAAAAAAACAAACCAACAAAAAAAAAACGCCAAAAAAAAAAGGCCCCACCCCTGAAAATGTGCCGTATTTTTATCTGATTAAAGAACGGGTGTTTCGCTTTTTAAAAATTTAAAATGACTAATAGATAAATAAAAAAATCAAGTATTTCGGGAAACTGATACATTGTCAATACATTGTCAATAAGCATGTCAAAATCTTCAAACTAAGGGGAGGTAAATAGATTTATTTGCGTTTTTACCTCCCTTAGTTCTCAAGTCAAGTGCTGTGTGTCAGCTCCCGTACGTCACCTCAGTGTTAGTATATTATGCTGATCCTTCGAGTTCATTGATTCAAATTAATTAGTATGTTTGAAGATTAAACACTGCTTCAGCTGGTTCTACGCGCGAGGGTTGGGATGTAGGGTGGGGGGGGGGGAGGGGGGTCGCGAGATATGTTTCACTTTTGGTTATCTCTCACGAATCGAATCTGCATTTTTTACTTTAAATCTGTGTTTTCATTGCTACAGAGTGATCTTCACTTTTCCAGAATTTAATACGTTTGGTTGATACAGTTTTATCGACCGTGGCTTTCCCTAAAAAATTATACCTATTACGATGTAGGGTCTTACCCAATGGTGCAAATCGTAGATGTATGTATATATAATAACATAAAGTCTTTGAAGTAGCTCTTTTCTCGTCTGCGAGATAGAAACAAATACAGGATATATAGAGTACTTCTAATACTAAATTTACTGATCGAGGTAAATAAATTCATATCATAAAGCGTTCGTGTTGTCGTCGAACAAATAACCGAATCAGCTGATGAGGCCCGACTTATATCTTAGTGAACACGTACCTGCACTACAGTGAAAAAAGTCGAAAATTGCTCTTATAGATCTACTTATTTTACATAAATAAAAAGAAAATTGGTTGTCTATCGTGAATATGCTATATAGTACACATCGAATTGGAAAGCAAATATCCTTATTTTAGCTCGCGCTCGCACTTGATATACTGTATAAAGTCCGAGCACGACAAACAGAACTTTCCTCATTTCTAAAAATACAAGCACAGTCCCCAAATAATTCGTTAAAAGTTATACGAATTTTATTTTATGAAATATTATCTTCGTTGGACTCTATAGCACAGTAAGTAAGACCGCTTAATTAATATAAAAGTAAATTCAGCTAGTGGGTGGAAACTGTATAATTTTTTTTATTAAAGGTTTGATACTTTTTTTCTTAATTACTAGTACTTTTTTGATTGCTGACAAAATAAAATTTGATTACGCATATGAACTTAAAGATACTGTATTTTTGTCTCTCTTAAAATTTGTTTAAATATTCATACATTTATAATAAGGAATTAAAAATAAAAAATGATAAGAAATATTCTTTTTATAGCATATTCATTCAAAACAAACAAATATCTTATATATGTATTACATTGACAAATCTCTATACTGAAAAACATACACATTGTATAAAAATCCGGAATAATGTTTAATGTTCCAGGACCACCGTCGAGTGGATGTATGACATTGTGAACGCTAATGCTATAATTATTTTTATAAGATTAATCAAGCGGATTAATGTTTTTTTTTTACTTTTTGATTAAATAGGATGATAACAAATTTTTATGTTTTAAAGCTATAGACTGGTGAATTTAAGTGTTATTTAATTGACATTCCACACTGAGTTTTTTCTTGTATATAGTCTCATATCAAGCGACGATCTTTTTTATGAGTTTTTTTGATATATGTGATCCGTTGAACAGCGAAAAGTGGTTAAACCTTTCAAAGATGTACTGTTTTGTCTGTGCCCTTTTCTAAATATTAAAATGTTACTGTATTTTTTTGATAAAAATTTCATTGATTTTAAATAAGAGAAAAGATATATAAAAATTTACTGAAGTGATACAATTTTCATTGATAATAAGTAAGAGAAAAGTTATATAACATTTTAATGATATTAAAAAAGGGTAAACTTAAATTAACTAATGCATGTATTGAAAAAGGGTTTGAAAAATTGAAAACTTTGACCCCCTCATTTATCATTCTTAAATGTTGTTTATCTGTTGTTAGGTGTTTAAACTCTTTTTTATTTCTCTACGTTTCTTCACGTTTTTATGTTTTGTTTTTTTTTTGCCATCAACAGCGGCTTAAATAAAATTTTATTTTCGGCAGCACATGTCTTTCTCATAAAGTATATAAATCATGGAGGCTCCGCGGAAAATCTGTATTTTAGATTAATTAAATTAAATCTTATTACAAAACAATTTTCATGCGGCAATTTCAATTTATATAGGTTACTGAACACTTCAAGGGAAGTAACTGCTGTGAGCGGATATACAATTAAGGATTGTTTTGCCAGCAGTTTAATAATACAGATTGAACTATTTATAAAAATAATCAGTAATGGAACTCTTCTTTCAGGTTAATTCTTTCTCACATGCAGTTAATAATTGAACTTTTGTCCGGAAACGAAAATTTGGATACTTTTAATATCAACAGAATTGTTACCTCCAACCTGGAACACATAGGTTTGTGGGTAACAGTAAAAATATCATCCCGAGGAAAATGCTGTTACCCTCGGCTACGCCTCGGGTAACAGTATTTTTACGAGGGATGATATTGTTACTGTTACTCACAAACCCATATGTTATTTATTTTATTACCCCGAACAAAAACACTGTGATGATCTGAAATTGTCAACTAAATCTAACTGTAACAAAAATAAACCAAGAGTAACAATAACTAAACTGTCCTTTAAGTGTACGTTATGCATTCTTGAGATGTTTTCTTTTTCTTTTATTCTTTAAGCAAGTGATGATATCTACTAGCCATAAACATACAATAAGCTGTATTTTATTTAGAAAACAAAACACTAACCCATTTATACGGTTATGATCTGTGAAATCTGATCCTTCTGTTTCCAGAATATTCTTCGCATTGTTTTTGACAAAATGACGATGATACTGTACCCACAGCATCTGTAACGTTTCACTGATTAAATTTGTTAAATAATCCTCTGTTGCATGCTTAAATCGTCTGCATATTCCAGTTTGACACATGATTATTCACATTGCAATTACTTCCGTTGAAAACGGATGTTCACTTTTTGACTGTTCAACGAAAAGATATTTTATACGCGAAAAGCACTCCAGGGTGCAAACAACTAAATTTTATGGGTGTCACAGTCACTCTAGAGAAGTTGGTAATCTCTTATTGTGATGAACGTCTTAAATAAGAATGAATCGAGAAAAAAATGGCGGCCATTTTATTTCCTTTTTTGGAAATAGACCACGCGACCAGATTTTATACTGTTAAAAATACTGTTACATGTAACTGTGACTGTTACACGTAACAGTGCAAAATTCTTAGTGACGTGGTACACTTGCATAAACAGTAAAAATAACTTCCAGAGGCCTATGGGAAATAAACATTACGAAAAAATGAGGGGTAATAAAATATTCTGTCCCAGCCCCAACATTGTGATCTCTGTTTGTACTGACAATTCCAAAATTTTTCGAGAGAGTATCACATCATTTTGTTTGACATGCATAAAGTTTATCTGAATGTGTATGCATTTTATACTGCATAAATAATGTTTTCAATAATTTGTGAATAATATCTCAAACTTTTATTATTGTAATATAAAGCTCAACGATAATATTCAGAATTCCAATAATATTCGACTGTAACTTAATTAAGACGCAATTTTTTCCTTAATATTTTCAAAAATTTTGATTTAATTATTTTCGTTATGAGCGACTTATATTTTTTCTTTATTGACATCACTTCAACGGAAGTTGTTGCCAAGGTAACTGATGGGGTTGACGGAGAGCTTATTGTTGAACTTGCTGTTGTCGTAAAACAATTGAAATCGTCCCAGTATAAAACCTGTCCAGAGTCGGAACACAATACACCGTAACACCAGTTCTGGCCTTTATCCTCTCCTTGATCAATTTCCGTCCCCGGTGGGTAGAAGATGTCGTTGTAAAGACATCCGATTGGCGTTGTAGATGGTGTAGGAGTAGTCGTTGATGTTGTGCTCGGTGTAGAACCACAATTGAAGTTATCCCAAGCAATTATATGACCTGAGTCGCCACAGATTGACCCAAAACACCAATTTCCCTCCTGTCCACTAGAGATGGTGTCACCGACTTTGAAGAGTTTACCATAGACATGGCATCCGTTAGGAGACGTAGTAGTTTTATACATCGGTGAAGACGTTGAAATATGACAGTTTGGTGTTGTAAATACGGAAATTGAGCCGTTTGCATTACAACGAGAAACGTAGCACGTGTTTGTTTGAGACTCAAATCTTTCTCCTGAAATTAAACATGCACGTGACATATATAAGTCTTTGATAATGTATGTACTGTTTACTTGATGTAATTGTTTCATCTTGAATGATAATCAATTTAATATACTATTTAATTGTAAACATATTTACACTTTAGAGGAATACTTACTCTACTTCAGGGTTCCGACCTGCGTTAAAATTCCCAGTAAATACCATCTCATGGCAGGTTTGACACCCACTGTTTTACATATACAGTGCCAATAAAGAACAACTCTATTTCTCGATTATGGCTTATATTTTCTATTCATCGAAAAAGGGAAAGGGAAACCGACGTTATTTTGAAATCTTTAATGCATTTAAATGATTATATATACTTAAATACTTATTGAAATACTAAAAATCCAAAAAGTTTCTAAAATATTAAACTATTTTAGGTTGCAGGTAAACATTTGAAGAGCGCAGTTTGGTTATTAAGTAAAACTTTTCTTTATCATTAATTTTACAAAAATAATAAAGAAACTAACGTACGCACATACGGACGAATGAACACACAATTTACAAGGCTTACCAAAGGTGTCTCCGGCCTGATATTGTTTTCCATTGTATTGACATCTCGACTGTGATCGACTTAATTCCTTTGCATGTACTGAGTTAGTCTGTGTTTTAATTAACATACAAACCACAGCCAGAATAACTGAAAAACACAAAATGAGCCGCGTCATGACAAAACCAACATAATGGGTTTGCGACCGGCATGGATCAAGACCAGCCTGCGCATCCGCGCAGTCTGATCAGGATCCATGTTGTTCGCTTACCAACTCTATTACAGGTACAGAAACTGATAACAAACAGTACGGATCCTGATTAGACTGCACAGATGCGCAGGTTGGTCTGGATCTATGCTGGTCGCAAACGCACTTTGTTGGTTTCGTCATGATGCGGCTCAAATGTAAATCTGTACGATCACATTTGTACATCTCCGAAAAACCACCTGCGTATAAAGACCATAAATGAACTGAAAACACATTATTCCAGACCAGCATGTTTACTCTTATACTTATCAACAAAAATGTCTTACGTTACTGTTCTAATGACCATCTGTCCACAAAGGCTGCATTATGGCCGTTATCGGCAGATTTTTTAATGCATTACATTAAATTATAAAAATGATTATAATAAATTCATCTTCTTTGCATATTCTTTTTTTAAAAAAAGTTTTAGTCTTGTTCTCTTTTATTTAATTACTTCTTAAATTTTTCAGTTTTTTTTACTTTCACCTAACCACGCTTTAATGTAAATCTTTGTTCTAAACTTGTCAAAAATGTTTTTCTTTACATACCTGAAATCTGCATCATTCCTTGAGTCAGAAAAGTGAAAAACACTGTAACAATAGCTATGAGAATTATGAAGTTATTTATACTAAATATCTTGGTCTTAATGCCCCGCCGGGAGCAAGGTCCGTGCATACAATTGACCACTGCGACCAATGTCAAGTTAATCACGATAAAAATCATTTGTTTTTGAGAATGCATCACCGACATCAGTGTGAAATGAAATGTAAACTAATCGTTTTTTCTCGTCCTCAAAAGTAACATTTCCATTAAATAGTTTTCCTTCACTCACCAAAGTTGGTTATAACATTTTTTCTTCTTATACATATCCTTGTTTTATCGACATAAATCTTTGGCGATTCTTTCAATAGGACAGATCAAGGTTGCATTACATGTTGGTTTAACTATGTTGTCTTATACTTGTAAACATTTACTATACTATTCATATATTATATTTGTGTATTTGTGCACATCTTGATCACTGATAGAGAGTTGGTGCACATTGTTTTCGTGCATTAACATTTGTAAAAGCACGAGGACACATTTAAAGTCCGGGCCCACAGGGTCAGATAGTAAATAAGTCCAAGGGCATTAACATCTGCTGTAGCCCTTGGACTAATTAAATCCTTTGCACTGAGGCTCAGACTTTTAACTAATCGTTTTTTCTCGTCCTCAAAAGTAACATTTCCATTAAATAGTTTTCCTTCACTCACCAAAGTTGGTTATAACATTTTTTCTTCTTATACATATCTTTGTTTTATCGACATAAATCTTTGGCGATTCTTTCAATAGGACAGATCAAGGTTGCATTACATGTTGGTTTAACTATGTTGTCTTATACTTGTAAACATTTACTATACTATTCATATATTATATTTGTGTATTTGTGCACATCTTGATCACTGATAGAGAGTTGGTGCACATTGTTTTCGTGCATTAACATTTGTAAAAGCACGAGGACACATTTAAAGTCCGGGCCCACAGGGTCAGATAGTAAATAAGTCCAAGGGCATTAACATCTGCAGTAGCCCTTGGACTAATTAAATCCTTTGCACTGAGGCTCAGACTTTTAACACGCCCTGTTATAATGCGCGAGAAAAGGCGCATTAACACTCTTATATATTATAGATTAGAATGATGTTATTCTTTCTGGAAATGTCAATCTTGTTTATTGACTGATGTTAAAAATATATATTGCAAAAAGTCATGTTGACTCATTTCCTAACTTTTGCATCGGATGAAGCATACTAGACTACATGTCTGTCCATATATGTAATTCATTTACTTATATGTTACAATGTCCTATCATGTTATATAAAAAATCTTTCCTTTAGAAGAAATGTTGCATGCATGTTGCCATGACAAAACCAACATTATTAGTTTGCGACCAGCATGGATCCAGACCAGCCTGCGCCTCCGCGCAGTCTGATCAGGATCCATACTGTTCGCTATCAGTTTCTCTACTTGTTATTGGGTTTGTAAGTGAACAGCATGGATCCTGATCAGACTGCGCGGCTGCACAGGCTGATCTGGATCCATGCTGGTCGCAAATACATTAAGTTGGTTTTGTCATGGCGCGGCTCAAATCATATTGATACATGTATGTCAATAGAACCATTATGGGTGACATATGACCATGGTTTAGTAAAAATATGAATGTGATTTTACTTACTAAGATGTCTAAGTGTAAATCAAAGTACTAGATACTCGAATTAAATTCATTTAAAGATTGTTTTGTGCAATATATTAATTAATAACTAATACATTTTGACTTGGTATAAGTAAAAAGTACACAATATCTTAAAAAAAAATAAAAACACGAAATGAATAAATATAATGTACCACACACCAAAAAACATTGACTTTATTTGGATGAACTTAATTCAGTTTTCACAAAATATTCAATCAACCTTAAAATTGACACGATTTTTCGATTTCTTTTTTGTATAAACGACTAAATTATACTTACAAAAGTCATCAGATTATAATTTACGACAAGGATATAAAACAAGGTAAAGTACCCCGAAGGCTTATAACTAAATACTTAATTGACATAATTTTTTTAGCCCATTTAGTATTAAAGTGTATAAAGCTATGTTGTTGTTAAAAAATGTGTCTGATTTAAAAAGAAAAAGAATACTTCTAAAATATCTGCATGATATAAGTATGCTTGTTTACTTCATAAAGAGTGAATGGCGCATGCACAGACTCATCGATAAATGGCAAAAACTCTACTAAAACAGCAGCATATTAATATTTTGCTTCGGATCATTATCGTTTGTCTTCACTTCAGTGATAATATATTTTTCTGGTCCTTCGGGATCATTGATTCCAACTCTTTTAAGTGTTGAAAATTGAGTACCGCTCAAGTCCGTGCTAGGGGACGTGAGGAGTGTGCACTTTTTCATTTAATTTATCCCTCATGTACAAACTCAATAAAACCGAGTCTGCATTTTTCATGTAATATTGTTGCGATAAATGCTTCCGAGGGATCACACTTTGTCCAGATTCTAAAATAGCAGAGCCATTCTACGATACAACAGTTTTTTAATCCCCAAATAATTATGGAAACGTAATTTTAAAGTTTATATATTCCATTGGAATTTTATAAGATGTTAAAGCTTTCTACACTAACAATATCTTTCTCACAAATTTTGTGTTTTTCACAATATAAAGTAATGTTAAACGCATTGAAGCAGTTAAATTCTTTTCTGCTCATTTCGTCTTGTAAATGGCCATATTATTAAGACTTGGCTTTATGTAATATTTTTGCAATAGTTTTTATTCGGTGTTTTAAACTGAAATTCACTTATCCGGTTTTTGGATTTGTTTTCTTCAGGAATTTCATTATTTAAAGTAGAACAGATTCAATGGGCCGGTCAAAACTGTAATCAAAGTTCAACGAGACAATAACGCTATTCATATATAATTGTTGTCACGTGATAACTTTTTTATCTGACTTAGAACTGCAGTAATATTAACATTCAATAGAAACATACTTAGAACTAATAAAAAGTTACTATGGTGGTTTTGTGCGTTGTGTTGTCACAAGCAACAGCACATCAAAGCGCCAAACGGCGCGTTGTCGGACTTTTGTCTTGTCGTCCTGTCGCTAACGATGCAAGCCAAATGGCGCATTGTCGTGCGCGTGTTGTTGCGATGTCACATTGTCGCTCGGCTCAAATAGAAAGATTGGCGACATAGCGACAACGCACCGCACGACAACCCGCCCTTTGTGGTGCTTCGCTAGCGACAAGATGAAAAGGCAATATCAATATAGGTTGTGTTGTCGCTATCGACAACGCAACGCGCAATGTGTACTAAATCAGCCACCGTAATTTATACTTTATATTGTAGTTTTGTTTTGTACAGTTAATTTGCCACGATACAATCCCGTACGTCAACATCACGTTTCGTTAAGAAGCCAATAAAGTAAGGTGCGACCAACCGTTAAAATTAAGATATATCTTTAGTTCAATTATTGTTACCAAACGCTAATAAACATATTCGTTGAGAAAAATTCTTAAGATATGAACGTGTGGCTTATTTCTGTTCTAATTTGCGTGTTTCTTTTTGCATTTAGTATCAATAGTGCCTTTAGTATACGCCAAAGAAAAAGGGCGTGGCTTTCTGGATGGTTTAAAAAGCTTACAACGAGATGCTTTCATAATGGAATATATTACAATAAGGGAGACACATTTGGTAAGACTTTATGTTCCTCTGAAGAGATTTTTTAAACTATGAAATTATCCTGATACGATCTTGACCAATATAACTTAATCCTAATCCTAAATATTACACTTTGTATAAATATAAGGGTTTAATTATGTAACAAACCTATTTTGTACAGTTTTTTATATATTGTACGGCATTATAGATCTATATCAACATTTAACTCGAACGATCGACGATAAAAGAAATATATTTGCCGCTCAAGGGATCACTGAATTTCTGTAAGACTTCCGACATAATCATGGAAATTATATTTTTAAAGTACCAATAAGTAATGTAGACATCAAGGGAAGTCACAAAGTATCGATAGAAATACAACGAGTCCATTGACTGCTTATTATCTACCGTCGCAAATTTAAAACTGCATTGTTCCGCATGCGCAAAAATAAATCCAGCTTAAGAAAAATGTGCAAAGTAAAAATATTCAAGTAACAAGTTACATGTTATATGCGATTAACGACTGATTTTGCAGTATTTCTCTTTGCGTGACAAAGGCTTTTTAAAAAAAATAAAAATATTTGTACTTCTTTTTTGGACTTTATGTGAATTTGAAGTGGTGTTTGCAGTGTGTTAATTTTCCTTTGTTCACTTCACAATATTTTACATGTCAAGGCATTTTAAAATGTTAATGACATTTATCTGGAGGCATGCTGCTTTATTTAAAACTAATTTATGAACAAATAATGACATCCATGCGCATGCCTGATTATTTTTTTCCCAGAATTAAATGTTTGAAACACACAAATGAATCATATCTTAACAGCTATAGGTAAATGAGTTCAAAGTTGAGAACTAATACATACGTGAGTATATTTAAAGAGAAAATTGTCATTTGCAAATAAGATAAACAACCCTATACCTTTAAAGCAATTTACAAAATTAATGTACAATGTATATCATTACATATATACGTCTGAACACAAAAGAAAAGTGTTTTACCTTCGTTAAAATCGGTCTACGTTAAATTACCATTAATTTTAATATTTGCAACTTTGCACAATGTAAATTTAAGATCAATTGTTTATAAGTGAGATACAGTATTATTCTGAATAAGAATCGAATAAAATTTAATGGTTCTTTCTGTTAATAGGGTAAATATGAATTTTATAACGTTTAGATAATGATTAAGAGCATGTTAGATGCATATCACCTGAAGAAAGTAGTGCTAAATGTGAAATTATTGCTCACAAAGGTAGCAAACTGTAGTAAACAAAGTAGTATTTTGACTTCCCTACTAAAATACTGTATCACAAAAACTGTACTTATTGCCAAAAAGCAACAGAAGAAAAAGATGGCTTAGGTATTTGCCCAATTAGTAACATTTTGGAAAATTTAACCGGACATCAAAAACAGAAAGCTTATGGAAAATAATATTTAAACGCATTTCTAAGGCATAACGGACCTTTAATGTAAACAGAGCAGCTGCAATATCTCAATTCATTCATATTATCAATTAATTAAATTCTGTTTAAAAATAAAGTTAAAATATAACTTGTATTTACTATTTGTCAGTCTGTCGAATTTAGTATTTTACGACCAAATTGACACCGCTTTTTTGTAGGTTTCAAGCTAAACTGTATGTCAAAGAAACCTTATTTGAATGTTTAAGGAGAAACATTATAATCAGTAGATTGGGACACACCTCGACTGTTAAATGTGATGAACAACAGAGGTACATTGTACCTGTTTTCAAGTCGAACATTTCACCTTTTCTTAAAGTTACATCTCTCTCATATTTCACGGTTATTTTCTTTTTCAGATAAAACGTACGATAGCCAAACTAACACTTGCTCTGCATTAAGATGTGGCTTTCTCGGGAACATTAGAAATGTGATAGACGATAACTGTAGTCCACCGACCACGCATACAGCTCCACCAACGAGCACGCTCCCTCCTACAACGACCCCGCCCCCTCCTACAACAACCCCGCCTTTCGGCTGCTACTACAATGACAAATTCTATCCACCTGACACTAAAATAAGCAGTGGTCAGACTGGAAACTGGTGTTACTTAGTTGAATGCGACAGTTACGGGGAGGTCGTCTATGGCGATAATTTTAACTGCGGTAAAACAACAAAACCAACGACAATTCCACCTACAACCAGACCTCCAGGCTGTTACTATAATGGGAAATACTATCCACCAGGTACAGAAATAAGTAGGGGACGTTCGGGCAATTGGTGCTCTTTTACAAGGTGTGACAGGTCTGGGCACGTCATATCGGGCGACAATTTCAACTGCACGAAAAAACCACGCACAACTTCTCCTCCACCAACAACACAAGCAGCAATTGCCGCTGAGAGATCTCTAAAAATATTTAAGAAGGAACTAAAGGACCTGCTCAGAAAAATTAACAAACGTAAATAATTGGACTAGATACATATTTTTCTATACCTCATAAATATTTACTTGCTAATAAATAAATAAATAAATTTCTCTAAAAAAATGTTTCAGCCACTTGACTACTAACGGATCGGCGTAACGCGACACGTGAAAGTTTACATCCACTATTTTTGACAAAGTATGTATATTTTCTATGTTTGACGAGACTATTAGATTAAAAATATTTTATTTAGAGTCAACATTGAACTTTCCATTGCTTACATTTACGTTCATGCATAAACAGGAGTTTTTTTTATACGCGGTCACTATGTATACATATATATGCAAGAAGAATATGTATGTGAGAAGTTAGCAGTTAACAGTGAACTAAGCAAAAAGGCATTACGATTTATATAGGGAAATCAATGATCTGCTGTAATGCTCAGCTGGGTAAGCAATCTAGCAGAGCATTCCAAAATAAAGTGTAGAAATGCTTTGCTCGTGTGCTCAGCTGGGTAAGCAATCTAGCAGGCCATTACTAAATATAGTGTAAAAATGCTCTGCTGGTATGCTAAGCTGGCTAGGCAATCTAGCGGGGAGTTCCAAAATATAGCGTAAAAATGCTCTGTTGGTATGCTCAGCTGGGTAAGCAATCTAGCAGGGCATTCCTAAATATAGTGTTTAAAATACTCTGCTGTTATACTAAGCTGGCTAAGCAATCTAGTGGGGCATTCCAAAGTTTAGTGTAAAAAGCTCAGCTGTTATGCTCAGCTGGCTAAGCAATCTAGCGGGACATTCCTAAATATAGTGTAAAAATGCTCTGCTGTTATGCTCAGCTGGCTAAGCAATCTAGCGGGGCATTCCAAAATATAGTGTTAACATGATCTGCTGGTATGCTCAGCTGGCTAGGCAATCTAGCAGGGCATTCCTTAATATAGTGTAAAAATGCTTAGCTGTTATGCTCAGCTGGCTAAGCAATCTAGCGGGACATTCCAAAATATAGTGTAAAAATGCTCTGCTGAATTGCTCAGCTGGCTAGGCAATCTAGAAGGGCATTCCTAAATATAGTGTTAAAAATGCTCAGCTGGCTAGGCAATCCAGCACAGCATTCCTAAATATAAAGTAAAATACTCTGCTGGCAAGCTCAGCTGGCTAAGCAATATAGCAGAGCGTTCCAAAATATAGTGCGAAAAATGCTCTGCTGGTATGCTCAGCTAGCTAAGCAATCTAGCAGGGCATTCCTAAATATAGTGTTAAAAATGCTCCGCTGGCTAGGCAATCAAGCAAAGCAGTCTGAAAATTAGTGTAAAAATGTTCTGCCGGAATGCTTAGCTGTCTAGGCAAACTAGCAGGGCATTCTTAAATAAAGTATAAATTTCGTTGGTCTGCAACTGATTATTTGGCACTCGTAGACTTTCTGAAATATTTAGTGCCAATGCAGATAATGACATTTTTGACTTCTACGGGACCCTCAAGTGTCTTTTTTTTGTCTCCGACTGATTCTGGGACGATTGCAGACTTTCAGGAATTTTTGGTGTTAATGCAGATAATGACATTTGTGAATTTTTAGGACCATCCTGAGTCCATTTCATTGGTGAATTTTTGAAATTTTCGATGCCAATGGAGATAATGACATTTTTACTTCAAAAGGACCCTCTGAGTCTATTTCGTTGGTCTGCGACTGATTCTAAGTCACTCACAGAGTTTCAGGAAATTTGGTGTCAATGCAGAAAATGATATTTCTGACTTATTGGGACCTTTCTGAATCCATTTTTTCGGTCTGCGACTGATTCTGAGGCACTCACAGACTTTCAGGAATGTCTGTTGTCAAGGCAGATAATGACATTTTTTACTTCTAGGGACCATCCAGGGTCCATTTTTCTGGTCTGCGACTTAATCTTGGACAGTCACAGACTTTCAGGAATTGTTGGTGCCAATAGAGATCATTACAATTTATGACATTTTTGACCATCCAGAGTCTATTTCGTTGGTCTGCGACTGATTATTGGGCACTTGCAGACTTTCAGGAATTTTTTGTGCTAATGCAGATAATGACATTTTAGGGTAAAAATGCACTGCTTATGACTAAGGGGTCCTTTAAAGTAAAAAAGTCATGATCTGCAATGGCACTAAACATCCTGAAAGTCTGCAAGTCTCAAGGAATCAGTCGCAGACCCAAAAATGTACTCTGGCGGTTCCCTAAAAGACAGATGTGTCATTATCTCCATTGGCATCAAAATTCCTGAAAGTCTGCAAGTTTCTCAAAATCAGTCGAAGACCAGCGAAATGAACTCTGAACTGGGTCGCTAGAAGTCAAAAATGTCATTATCTCCATTGGCACCAGAGATTTCTGAAAGTCTGCAAATGTCCCAGAATCAGTCGCAGACCATAAAAATGGACTCTGGCGGGTCCCTAGAAGTAAAACATTGCCATCATCTCTATTGGCACCAAATTTTCCTGAAAGTCTGCGAGTGTCTAACAATACGCTGCAGGCCAATGAAATGGACTCTAAAAGGTCCCTTGAAGTCAAAAATATGATTATTTCCAATGGCACCAACTATTCCTGAAAGTCTGCGAGTGTCCAAGAATCAGTCGCAGACGACCAAAATGGACTCTTGAGGGTCCCTAGAAGACTTAATTGTCAATGTCAGCATTGGCACCAAAATTCCTGAAAGTCTGCGAGTGTCTATCAAAAAGTCGCAGGACAATGAAATAGTCTCTTAAAGGTCCTTAGAAGTCAAAAATATAATTATTTCTATTGGCACCGAAAATTACTGAAAGTCTGCGAGTGCCTCAGAATTGCTTAGAAGTCGAAAATGTCAATAAAACTTTGGCAACAATTAATCTTGAAACTCAGAATCAGTCTGCCAACTGAGCATTCCAGCAGAGCATTTTTAATTATATTTCGGAATGCCCTGCTAGATTGCCTAGCCAGCTTAGCATTCCACCAGAACATTTTTACACCATATATTGTAATGCCCTGCTAGATTGCCTAGCCAGCTGAGCATTCCACCAGAACATTTTTCACTATATTTAGGAATGCCCTGCTAAAGTGCCTAGCCAGCTGGGCATTCCAGCAGAGCATTTTTACACTATATCTAGTAATGCACTGCCAGCTTAGCATTCCAGCAGAGCATTTTTACACTGTATTTAGTAATGTCCTGCTAGATTGCCTAGCCAGCTTAGCATTCCAGCAGAGCATTTTTACACTATATTTAGTAATGCTCTGCTAGATTGCTTAGCCAGCTTAGCATTCCAGTTGAGCATTTTTTCACTATATTTAGGAATGCCCTGATAGATTGCCTAGCCAGCTTAGCATTCCAGCAGAGCATTTGTACACTATATTTAGTAATGCTCTGCTAGATTGCTTTGCCAGCTTAGCATTCCAGAATAGCATTTGTACACTATATTTAGTAATGTCCTGCTAGATTGCCTAGCCAGCTCAGCATTCCAGCAGAGCATTTTTACAGTATATTTAGTAATGCCCTGCCAGATTGCCTAGCCAGCCCAGCATTCTAGCAGAGCATTTTCTCACTATATTTAGTAATGCCCTGCTAGATTGCCTATCCAGCTCAGCATTCCAGCAGAGTATTCTCTCACTATATTAAATAATGCCTGCTAGATTGCCTAGCCAGCTTAGCATTCCAGCAGAGCATTTTCTCACTATATTAAGTAATGCTCTGCTAGATTGCCTAGCCAGCTTAGCATTCCAGCAGGGCATTTTGTCACTATATTTAGTAATGCCCTGCTAGATTGTCTAGCCAGCTAAGCATTCCCAGCAGAGCATTTTACACTATATTTAGTAAATGCTCTGCTAGATTGCTTAGCCAGCTTAGCATTCCAGCTGAGCATTTTTTCACTATATTTAGTTATGCCCTGCTAGATTGCCTAGCCAGCTTAGCATTCCAGAATAGCATTTGTACACTATATTTAGTAATGCCCTGCTAGATTGTCTAGCCAGCTTAGCATTCCAGAATCGATTTTCTCACTATATTCAGTAATGCCCTGCTAGATTGCCTAGCCAGCTCAGCATTCCAGCAGAGCATTTTCTCACTATATTTAGTAATGGCCTGCTAGATTGCCTAGCCAGCTCAGCATTCGAGCAGAGCATTTTCTCACTATATTTAGTAATGCCCTACTAGATTGCTTAGCCAGCTGAGCGTTCCAGCAGAGCATTTTTACACTATATTTAGTAATGCCCTGCTAGATTGCCTAGCCAGCTCAGCACACCAGCAGAGCATTTTCTCACTATATTTAGTAATGCCCTGCTAGATTGCCTAGCCAGCTCAGCATTCCAGCAGAGCATTTTCTCACTATATTTAGAAATGCCCTGCTAGATTGCCAAGCCAGCTTAGCATTCCAGAATAGCATTTGTACACTATATTTAGTTATGCCCTTCTAGATTGCCTAGCCAGCTTAGCATTCCAGAATAGCATTTTCTCACTTTATTTAGTAATTCCCTGCTAGATTGCCTAGCCAGCTCAGCATTCCAGCAGAGCATTTTCTCACTATATTTAGTAATGCCCTGCTAGATTGCCTAGCCAGCTCAGCATTCCAGCAGAGCATTTTCTCACTATATTTAGTAATGCCCTGCTAGATTGCCTAGCCAGCTTATCATTCCAGCAGAGCATTTGTACACTATATTTAGTAATGCCCTGCTAGATTGCCTATCCAGCTGAGCGTTCCAGCAGAGCATTTTTTCACTAAAGCTAGGAATGCTCTGCTAGATTGCCAAGACAGCTGAGTATTGCAGCTGAGCATTTTTACACTATATTTAGGAATGCCCTGCTAGATGCCCAAAACAGCTGAGTATTACAGCAGATCATTACCTTCCCTATATAAATGAAGTGCCTTTTTGCTTAGCTCACTGTTCACTGCTAACTTCTCACATACGAAGAATATAGCGATCACGCGCACCTGTAGATTGAGAATTTTACATTACACGCATGCTGGAAATATTTTGTGAGTATATCATACATACGCGATCAATGTTGTATTTCAACGGGCCTGTAAAATGAATGTTCATAAAATTTTTCGCAATCATCGAGAGTGATACGTAGCCCCTAGCACGCCGTGATTGCT